TACCGCAAAAAAAAAAAAAAAAAAATTATGTTCTAGCTCCTTCTCTGCCCACTCCCCCAACCAAGTGAAATGTTATGGAGGATCTCCCTCCCAAACCTCTGCCCAGAAAAATCCTCTAAATGTCTTCCCTGGTCCTTTGTTCTCCCTGGCCCACCGACAGCCCCCTGAACTCTTCATGGTGGATGTTGGATACAGTTCTGCACTAGCTCACCTTGGGCAGTATGGGAAACAGAGAGGGCTGGGATCAGAAGGATGCTTCTTGTGGTGGTCCCTGTGGACCCCTCCCCTCGAAACTCAGGACGGATGTGTGTTCACCATGGCCTTTCTGAATGAATTCTTTTTTCCCTTCTCAGCCAGTGGGTTCTCTTGGAGAGAGCAAGTCCTCAGAGTGCTAATTAATCACTCAGCCTCAGCTCAGCACAAACCTTTACACCCTGCACCTAATCCTTCCTCTAACATGTTTCCACCCAATTAAGAGACTCTCTGGGGTGTTTTGGATATTACCCTGTGATATCCTGACCTAGAGCAAGTGTGAGATCTGAGCCCTGTGGAGATTTTCTGCGGTGGTGGGGAATCTGGTTTGTGCCCTTTGCCTCTGGGCCCAGTTTGATGGACAGCACACCCTGCTGGTTACAGCGGCATTCCCCACACTGGCCAGGCCTTCCTGGACAAACAGATCGTCTCATTTACTCTTTGCCCCTCCCCTGGGAAGCAGGTAGAGCAGGGTTGAAAATGGTCAAGTATGAAGTGGGTAATACGGACCCTTTTGTGTGGCCCCTCCTAATTCTCCAAACCATGTGGTCAATTACAGAATGAAGGATCGTTTCATAGAGCAGGCAAAAAAAAAAAAAAAAGTTTGATTTCCTCTGGTTTGTTTTTTTTTTTTAATTTACTTATTGTATTTATTTTATTTTGGGCTGCATTGGGTCTCCACTGCTGCACGGGGGCTTTCTCTAGTTGCGGCGTGCCGGCTTCTCATTGCGGTGGTTTCTCTCATTGCGGAGTTTTCTCTCATTGCGGAGCTCAGGCTCTAGGCGTGCGGGCTTCGGTAGTTGTGGCACGTGGGCTCAGTAGTTGTGGCTTGTGGGCTCTAGAGCACAGGCTCAGTAGTTGTGGTGCATGGGCTTAGTTGCTCTGCGGCATGTGGGATCTTCCCGGACCAGGGATCGAACCTGCGTCCCCTGCATTGGCAGGCAGATTCTTAACCACTGTGCCACCAGGGAAGTCCCGATTTCTTCTGTTTTAAAGATCAAAATTATAACCCTTTAGTACGAGATAACTTTCAACTGGTCAAATAAAGCATTGATTTTTCTTTTTTCTTGTACAAGGTTCAGAATGGATATAATATTTAGAGACAAATAGCTACTCTACTGTAGTCTAAAAACAGTCCGCAGGACTTCCCTGGTGGCTCAGTGGTTAAGGGTCTGCCTGCCAATGCAGGGTACACGGGTTCGAGCCCTGGTCCGGGAATATCCCACATGCACTGGAGCAACTAAGCGCATGCACCACAACTGCTGAAGCCTGCACGCCCTAGACCCCACGAGCTGCAACTACTGAGCCCACGTGCTGCAACTACTGAAGCCCGTGAGCCAAGAGCCAGTGCTGTGCAACAAGAGAAGCCACCGCAATGAGAAGCCTGCGCACCGCAACAAAGAGTAGCCCCCGCTCGCCGCAACTAGAAAAAGCCCGGGCGCAGCAACGAAGACCCAATGCAGCCAAAAAAAGGAAGAAGAGTCCACATTACAGCAAAGAGGGAAATGCCTCAATAAGATACCCAAACTTAAGTGCTTCTTAGAATTGTGTTTTTCCTCATTCACATCAA